GATGGATATGCGGAGCAAATCCATCTGGCGGAGTCAGGTTAGATATATGAAGTAAGAATCAGCCGGATGTAGATCTGGACTTTGACTAGACCAGCGCTCTTCAAGCTTTACAATCCAAAAAGTCATTTTTGACTTTAGTCCAGCTAATGAAAGTTGTTTAGAGCTTCAAACACAACATGACTTTAAAAAAAAGAAAAAAAAGAAAAATATTAATTATATATAATGCATACAGGTTTGTGCTTAAAAGAAAAAACAATGTGTAAATTCCAATTTTTTAATTGAGGAAAAAAATGTAATATATACGGTAATACATATATTTTCAGTGGGTAGCTAAAAAAATAAAAAATAAAAAAATCCGTAAAAAAAGATCATTATTCCCCACTTAAAAAGCTAAAAAATATATATATTTCTGTTAGGCTTAAAATCAATTTAGTTTGGTATTTTAATCAAATTAATCAGTTCCAAAACGCTAAACACAGCATTTGTAATTATATCTATATTGTGATGGAGAACCATCGTCCATTAAAGAACTAGACCATTGAATGTGAATATTCTGATCTGAACCATGTTATGGTTGCTTTGAAACCCATCAGGATCTCTGTTCTCTTGTGCTTGATTGTGAAAATGTGGAATGAATTGAATGATGATTTAAAGTTATGTCCTTTCTTGGTGAGTTTTAAAATGTAAAATGATAAAATCCTATGCTATGTAGATTTGAATATTTATATACGCAGTAAAGAACCTGGTAGGTTGTAAAGGTTGTAAGTATAAAACAGGGTAGGCAATAATAAGCTTTGCTTCAGCCTATTCCTTTTTTTGGTAAATTTTTGGTTTTGTTTTGATATTGTTGTTTTGTTGTTTAATGTTGGATTATTTGCTAAAAAATAAAGTGAAGTGATCTTAAAAAGGCGGCTAGAGGGATTTGAGGGTCAATAGAACCCTTTTTTTTTTAACAACTCTCTTTTTATGGACTGCCTTTAATAAACCATCTTCCCATTACCTCTAAGCAGCTTTTCTATTCCTAAAGAAGAAGCATTATGCTGCCACCACCGTACCTCACTGAGTGAAAAGTGTGTTTTCAGGAAAATGTGCGGCAATGATTTTCTATTAAACACAGGATTTAAAATCTAGGCCAAAAACTTCATTCTGATCTGACTAAAGCACCTTAACAAAGGTTACGGCACAGCCTTTCCAAATACATGCCACACTATATAACATGATTTAAAACAAATTTAAAAAAACAGGTATTATTTACCCTTTTTTTTTTTTTTGCACTTTAGATCCCAGTAAAAAAAACATTTTTTTAAATTATAATGTGAAGAAACGTCAGTAAGCCCTTTCGCAGGTGGTCAACAGGATTGCAAATTATATAAATGAGTGAAAAAACCTGATTTTAGATGAAGAAACTCAGAATGAAGCAGTGCATCCTACACATATATTTGATTTGATGTACAGTCAGATAAACTGCTCCGTTACGCTGCTTGATATTTTAATTCCCCTCCTCCTCTTAAGGGGCACGGATAACTCCAATGAAAACTGAAATTAAAAGAGGCGTTGAGTGCGGCTCGACATTTTATCTGATGACAAGCTGCTACAAAGATTCTCTTCCACCCACGAAAAGGACTGAAAATAGTTTGCTATTTTTGTGGGAAGTTACGATTATTTCATCCCCCCAGTGAAGCCTGATAATTACGTCAAAACGAACAAACAAAACACTTCAACTAAAAAACCGTGACTCTTCATTTCAGGGAGAAATAAAGAAAAGCTGCTTAGACTGTTCAGCCATCAGCATCTACAACGATGCATTAAAAAAAACTAAATAAGAACATGAGCTACAGCATTTAATTTCCCTTTGGGATCAATAAAGCTTTTTCCAATTAATTGAATTCAAACACACAGAAGCACGGCAGACCGGGCTGAAAATTAATCAGCGAGATGCCAAACATGGCGGCAGCTACAGAGAGAGGTCACCCTGTTCAATACTTTAAATGTGACGGAGGAAAAACATCCAAAATAAACAGACTAAAAAAAGAAAACAATGAGAAGCAACAAATAAGGGAGAAAGACATAAAAACTACATGTCCAGACTTTTAGAAGAGATCAAAGCCGGCAGAGAGAATAAAAGAATGAGACGTGACAGCTGACAGTCTGCATAAAACCCTCAGCGACACAAGACAATGGTATAATTAGAAAAAGTCCAAGATATGTAAAGAGAGAAAAGCAATTCTTAGATAAAAGAAAAGAGCAAAAATAAGTATCAAAAGACCTAAAAGGATTCAAGTCCAGTATGAACACGGGTTATTTGATGACACACTGAACCAAAACACACGAGTCAAACCTAATAACAGCTATGGAGATTAAAGGCACTCCGTTTCATTCAAACATCTTTCATTCATCGACTCCCTCTCATCTCTCTCAGACCTTCCACCACTCGGCCTCTTTCATCCCTCTCTAAGTGCTCACATTCCACACACTCAAAGGGACAACTTCTCTGGGCCGCTGATGAAACCGCCGAGACAACTCAGCTGTGTGCCCTCTGAGCCTCCCTGCTTGAAGCCAAGGCTTTCCGGCTCCAGATAAAAACGAGAAAACGAAAGAGAGCTGAATCTATGAATATAAACAAATCAATTTTCAGTTTACTGGGGAGAAAAGTGCTGCTTTAGCCTGTATCTGCTGGAACGCCCAGCTTCCTCCTCATGCCCTGCTGATAACAGAAAAAAAAACTTCTTTAGCTGGATGCTTGCAGAATCATTATCATTCCTTTGCAGCATCCTTTGGATTTTTTACTTTTGGCTCTTCCTCAGAAAAAATAAGCAACATTTTTTTTTTTTTTATGTCCTAGAATATAAAACTCTACAGCCGACTCTTGTTCTCTAAGAATTATTGGTTTAAACAAGTAACCAAACCTAAATAGGACTCAAGCTGTAGATTAATTCAGGATTGATGGTTCCCTGACAGGGATCTGATCAGGTGCAATAAATCATTCGGTGAAGATTATTTCCCTTTTATTATTTCCGTTTTGAGAGGCAGCAAATGTCTTCGGCAGAACCTGCTCGGCGTGATCTTCTTCCATCAATCACAGCCCTGATGAGAGCGTTCCTGTTTATGAGACTGCAGGGAGCTTCATCAGACCTCACAGCTGTGAGTTATCACCCAAGTTCCTGAAACTCCTTCAACACAGAGTTAACGGCTGATGCTAAGGGTCTGAAACGTCTGCCGAGTCGGGTGGAGAAGGCTTTAAAGAATCTCAGAGGGACGTGTTGATTTAATGCACTGATTAGGTGCGATTTTCCACACGATTACTTCAGCAGATTGCCTGGACCGTTATAAAATCTCCCTATAGATAAACTTTCCCGTTAACTATTTAATCTCCATTGATTCATGCCAGGGCGTTCTTCTTAGCACGGCTAAAACGCTTTCAAAAATGTTCCATGACATCAAGTTTATTTTGAATCTCAATGAGCTCAAGGACAGTTTAAATCTTATATAATAAGAACTTACAGTCAATACCCAAACACTTCTCTTGAGTTTGTTTTTCTCCTTTTCACTAAGTGTCCGAGTCAGAGTTTAGTCAACAGAGCTGCCGAGGGGAATCCCATGGTAAAGGTCAAAACAGCCCGACACTTCCTTTATGGTGCAGTTGAGATCCCGTCACAGCGCCTCAGCAGCAGCAGCCATTGCACATCATTATCAATCAGAGCAAAAAGAAACGTCAAGGACAGCTGAGGATGACTCAAAGAGAGATGAATCATTTTCTGATGACAAGGACCGAAGCCCCATTGGTGAGCAGGCATGGAGGGGCTCGGACTTGAAAGTAAAAAAAAAAAA